AAAAAAAAAAAAAAAAAAAAAAAAAAAAAACCCGAGTGTAATTCCACAAGTGAGGTCTGGCGAGGATAGTGTGTACGCAAACCTTAACTCTACCTTTAAGATGGCGGAGAGTTTCGAGAAATTCTTGGTGACTATCACTAGAAAGTTTCAACTTATTGTTAGTGCATACTGTAAAGGCTGTAACTAGAGGGAAAAATGAGTAAACTTTTGAGGTGACAAGCAACACAAATTTTTAACAAAGGTTATTGCTAATTAGTTCAATGTTTGTTGGCATTTGAACAGTTCTTATCTGGTGGACAATCAGAAGTTGAGGCTACATACAACTTGAATGCCATGAACCAAGCTCCAAACCCGTGGCACGTATCTTTCTCATACGCGAGGGCTCTTCAAAACACTTGCTTGAAGACATGGGGCGGACTTCCTGAGAACGTAAAGGCTGCTCAGGACGCGTTGCTGGTCAGGGCTAAGGCCAATTCTCTCGCTCAACTTGGCAAATACACTGGCGAGGGAGAATCAGACGAAGCTAAACAAGGAATGTTCGTTAAGGGATACGTTTACTAAGGGCATGAAAGTCTTGAACATGAAGAAGTGAAGAAAAACAAATAAGTTGGATGAGTATAGTGTAGCAAGTGGAATGCAAAATTGTAATCAGTATTAGCTATGGAGAAGAGTATTTTTGAGATGATTGATTATTTGTACAATTTAACCACTTTACTATTTGCTTGCTGATTGAAACTACTAGCAGTAGTATTTTATCAATGAATCATACACTACTGGTGGAACTGTTTCCTACAATGTTTGAGCTTGAATTAGTTTTCTAGTTTTCAGTTGTGTTGTACTAAGATAACCTTGGTTGTTTAATTTCTAACTAATAATAACTTTGATATGCATTTCATATGACTTTAGGTTACACTATACCTTATGGAGAGTCAAAAGCCTTCTTCATTGACTACAAAGCTTGAACAAGAGTCATTTCAGGGACTACCCATCATTTACTTTTAGAAAAAAAGAGGAATTATATTCCGGGCAAGGACTTATGTATACCTGTTGTTTACGTCAAACCAAGCAGATACAAATAAATTGTTTCCTTATATTGCGTTTAATAAAAGGACCGTCTGAGATGATAAAAAGTAATAATCCGCTC